ACAATTAAAAAAAAAAAGGAAAAAACTATAAATTTTACAAAAATATAAAGAAAACAATAAATGTATTTAAGAATAAAAAAAAGAAAAATTGCCCTGGAGAATCATAACAGTCACAGGTGGATGGATGAGCTCTATTATGCATATCAGGAGCTCTGGTGGTATAATGCCTAAGGTGTTTGACTGTTAACTAGAAGGCTGGCAGTTCATACCTCGGAAGGAAGATTGGGCAGTCTTACCACCTCGGAAACCCAAGGAGGGGTCGCTATGAGTCAAATTGACTCAACAGCAGTGAGTTTTGTTTGGTCTTATGTATATCATCAGGGCAGGTTTGTACAAATGAGGCAGTTCTTGAAAGATCTTAGCCTGGTGGGTGGGCTTTAGCTGTGGGTAATCAGAGAAGGCTTTCTGGATTAAGCTAATACTTTGCACAAAAGTATAAAAGTGTGTCCCTGTCAGAGAACTACACTGTTTTGGTAGTATGAGTGCCAAGTATGCTAAGGCTAGATGGAAAAATCTCCTTACTTTAATAGGAGTTTAGTTTTTATTATCCTTAGACTTCTGCAACTTTCCATTGCCTCTTTTCTGCACATTGAAACATCTGGGGAACTTTACAAAACAGTGATGCGTGGGTCTCATTCCCCAGAGATTCAATTTTAGTTGGTCTGGAGTTAGGCCTGGTATCAGGATGTTTAAAAGCACCCTAAGCGATTTTAATAGGTAGTCAAGATTGAGAACCACTGCTCTAATTTTGTTGTTGTCGTTGTTAGATGCCATTGATTTTTGACTCAACACAACCCACATGACAGAGTAGAACTGTGCCACAGTATTTTTTAGGTTGTAATCTTTATGGGGGAACAAATCACCAGGTCTTTCTCATGTTAAGTTGTTGTGTGGGTTTGAACTGACAACCTTTTGTTTAGCAGCTGAGCACTTAACCATTGTGCCACCAGGGTTTCTTAGTATAATACTAGATTTGCACTTCTGAAAGATGAGTATTATGGTATTGTGAAAGATATTTTGGGGAAAAACCAGCCTGGATTCTAGGGGAGACCAGCTAGGTTAAGGATTCTCAACCTTGGTAGCACCTTAGAAGCACCTGGGACTTCTTGAAAAAACTAATGGCTGGGCCCTGCATGACCCCATTTAAGTCAGAATGTTTAGGCTAGGGCCTAGGTGTTGAGTTTAATATTTTTAAATGCTAGCATACAGGCCAAAGTAGAGAATCACAAGGACAGATTATTATAGTACTTCAGGTTTGAGCTAGGTTAGTAAGTAGCTAAGGGACTGGAGAGGAAGATATGATAGAGACAGATATGACATAATGACTAGATGGGAGAGAGAGAGGGAGAATCTAGAATGATTCCTAGACTTCTGACTTGGGTAACAGGTACATGGTAGCATTATGGACTGGTGTATGGGCTATACCTGATGGCTTACAATAGGAAATAGCTTTTTTTATTGCTTGCTGATACTACTTTCCTGCCTCTTGATAAGAAGTCAGTTTTAACTAAAAAATGCCTTATTTTACTGATGAAGATTCATGGTTATGAAAAGTCTAGTCAAATATCAAAAGCTAACATCCTGTTTCAAACTTCTCTTCCCCTCAGCTCAGGAAGGGTGATTGGGTACATGATCAGTATATATAAAAAAAAAAAAATCAATGATATTTCTAGACCATTTACGTTTAATGTAATTATTGATATGATTGCATTTAAATCTACTGTTGCTACTTTTTTCTTCATTGTTCTGTTTATTCTTTACCTTTTTTTCTGCATTCTTCTGGGTTACTTGAATAATTTTTATAATTCTATTTTTATCTACACTGTTACCTTATTAAAAGACCCTTGGTAGTGCAGTGGTTAAGCACTTGGCTGCTAACAGAAAGGTCATCAGTTCAAACCCACCAGCCATTCCATGAGAGGAAGATGTGGCAGTCTGCTTCCTTATAGATTATAGCCTTGAAAACCCTATGGGGCAGTTCCA